AATTTAAGTTTACCAATATTTATCGGAAGAAGTCATATTTTATATAAAACTCACCTATTTTATAGTGTTTGAAGACATATTTTACCCTATCTTGGAAAATGATGTCCGAAAAGAATTTTAAAACAATCCTTATTAATTATTTACTCTGTATTAGTTTTAAAAAAATATAAATTTTAAAATTAAAATTATAACTTTTTGAAATATACTTAAATCTCTTATTGATAAAGAGTTTATTCTTAAACACATGGCACACTACACTAAGAGCACTGGCAGTGGCGTGGCTGTGCCAATGCCACGCCTGCCACATAAGCCAAGCAAGCAAAATGCCTCGCAAGAATGTAGAAATTTGACATGCATGGCAAGTAATGGGCGAGGCAAGTCAGGCAACTATTTTTGTTTTATTTTCTTTTTTCCTCCATAAAATAGAAGATTTTTAAAAGGTAGATATATTTTTTTGGAAAAAACCTAAGTAAATTCATTTTTAATACTTTGTAGTAAAAATAAGACATGTAAAATAATGTAAAATTTGAAGAAAAAAACGTAATTTTTTTTATTTTTTTAGTTTATTTTTTAAATAAGAAATATTTTTAAAAAGAGTATAGTTTATAAAAATATAAACAAAATAAATTTAAATAATTTAAATAATTTTTAAATATTTTTATTTTTTTATTTGAAAAAATATAATTAGAATAAATTTAAACAGTTAAAATTAAAATGTGTAAAAAAAGTAAAATTGATAAAAACAATTACTTGCCACTGCATAACATGCCACTCCACTCTCATGCCACACGCTGACTAGACTGTTTTTTATTGGTTGAAACTTTCCATGTCATCGTGTGTCATTTTATTTCTTACTTGCCATTGTGAATGCTCTAAATAAAAATAGGGTGTACTACAGAGTACGAAGTAATGGTTTTCACTGAATGTATTATGTATGTTGAGGCCAACATTACAACTTACGGAGTATTGAAACTAAAGCTAATTAATTTTCACAATAATCATCCCTCCATCTCTTAATTATATTCCTTGCCATGTCCAGTTTTCAGTTAGGGTATTTTAGACAAATTTATCCCATAGTCAAATTCCTTTAAAATTGAGAACATGTTACAATTAGAAGATTTAAAATATCAAAAACACCGATTCTCGTCATACTTCTTGATTTTATAGTTTTTTTAAGCCAACAATGGATTCTATTCCTGTAAAAAATTGATAACAATTAGGGTCTGTTTGGTATGTGGAATTGACGGAATTAGAATTGAATTGGAATTGAAATTCCATGGGATTCAATTCCATAGAATTGAATTCTGCCAATTCCAATTCATTTTTTACACTATCAATTCCAAATGCACATAATTTTTGGTGTAATAAATCTAATAAAAATATTTTTGTCCAAATATCTAATACTATTTTTATTTAATTTGAAATTTAAGTTTACCAATATTTATCGGAAGAAGTCATATTTTATATAAAACTCACCTATTTTATAGTGTTTGAAGACATATTTTACCCTATCTTGGAAAATGATGTCCGAAAAGAATTCTAAAACAATCCTTATTAATTATTTACTCTGTATTAGTTTTAAAAAAATATAAATTTTAAAATTAAAATTATAACTTTTTGAAATATACTTAAATCTCTTATTGATAAAGAGTTTATTCTTAAACACATGGCACACTACACTAAATAAAAATAAGGTGTACTACAGAGTACGAAGTAATGATTTTCACTGAATGTATTATGTATGTTGAGGCCAACATTACAACTTACGGAGTATTGAAACTAAAGCTAATTTTCACAATAATCATCCCTCCATCTCTTAATTATATTCCTTGTCATGTCCAGTTTTCAGTTAGGGTATTTTAGACAAATTTATCCCATAGTCAAATTCCTTTAAAATTGAGAACATGTTACAATTAGAAGATTTAAAATATCAAAACACCAATTCTCGTCATACTTCTTGATTTTATAGTTTTTTAAGCCAACAATGGATTCTATTCCTGTAAAAAAATTGATAACAGTTAGGGTCCGTTTGGTATGTGGAATTGACGGAATTAGAATTGAATTAGAATTGAAATTCCATGGGATTCAATTCCATAGAACTGAATTCTGCCAATTCCAATTTATTTTTTACACTATCAATTCCAAATGCACATAATTTTTGAGCTACTAAACACCAGAATTGGATTTGAAGCCCTCAATTCTAATTCCATGATTTGAATTCTATATACCAAACGGGGTCTTATAGAAAAACAAATATGCATATGATAGCACAAAATATGCACCATTCTTGAAGTGGATAATATGCATTGAATGAGGAAAAGAGAATACCCTTCCTTAGACATATACCATGTGAATATATGTATACGGAGTATGAATTATTGTAGCTATTAGGTTATTTGAAGTGTTGTGAATCTATGTATCTATATGAATTATTCTTCAAGTTTTGAACCGGAGCTACTCAATATGGGCGGGAAACAACATAATCTATTTTATTTTCTTTTTATATATAGTAGGATAACTTTAAAACAACATTTAGAGCTTGTTATCTTCGTCTTATTTGTGATTGAATCCAATCCAGTTTGTTAAGGGTTTGTTTGGCATCCCCATTAGAGATTAACATTAATGTTTTGAAAAGATTATCTCACGGTAGCTTTTTACGTTAACATTTTTAGAAATAAACCACACCATTAATTTTTTATCCAAAACGCTAGCTTTAATAGGGAACGTTGTTCCCAAACAAAGCCTAAGGTCTTACATATAGGTTTCTATTTTATCTATTCTGATCTAATATGCTTGTAGTTAGTCCCTGATCAAAATTTAATCTTTTCATTTAACTTTTCTTAGTTAAAGTTTGTAAACTTTGCCCTCGATATGTAAAAAATACATTGTGTTTCAATATAGATGTAATAAAATAAGTTTCTTTTGAAACATAGTTTAATAAAATAATTTTTTGTTATATATATATATATATATGTGTGTGTGTGTGTGTGTGTGAGAAACAGACTAAATTAAGAGTAAAAAATAGATAATGTATCAAAATATGAAGTTCATAATTTTATCACAAAAATAGGAGTTACCACAATAATAATGTAAATATATAATAACAAAAAATCTCATGTAATATCAATGTACAGTGCCCAATTATAACGGGACAGTAGTCCTATTTTGGTTAAAAACGGCAATCACTTATTTTAGAATTTTCTTTATTTTTACTCTTAGCTTGCATATTTCTTTATAACTATCAATATTAGCGGTCAAAGTGTTTCATTAGATACCGTGCAAAGTTAAATGAAAAGATTATATTCGAGTTGGGATATTATCTTAAAAATTATTTATGATATGATCTAATCTAATATGATATGATTTCGTTTTTAAATAGTTTTTATTTATTTTTTATTTTTTTAATATATTTTGAGATAATCATTTATCACTAATTGTTTATTTTTATTTTCTAGATCTTGTTTTCTCAATTTTATATCGTTTTATTATTTAATTATTATATTATTTTTCATTTTATTTTATTTCTATAATTATTTTATTATTATTATTTTTCAATGGAGATCTTTGCGTGAAAGATATCACTGTAAATATGAATCATGATAGGACGCAATGACATCGTTTGATCCATGTAGTCCATCCACTTAGTGGAAAATGATATGTACATAGTTGTTGTATTATAACTAATTTATTTATTATCTATATTTTGTATTTATTTTTTGTTTATTCGATTATAAATATTTTATAATTATTTTTCAATTTTATGAGTAATTTCTTATTTGATTTTTTATTTACT